ACGCGTTTAGGAAAAGAGAAAATCAAAGAAGTTTACGCGTTTGGAAAAAAGGAAAGATCGATTGGCATATTGGAAAAATTTAATGCGTGTTGCACCCATTATGAATTGTACCCCCTCAATATCATATCCCCCGAACACAAACCCCCCACTTTAGAGTACCCACTGCTGGACAACGTACTCCCCCGGGTACAAATCAGGTTTCAGCCCGTAGAATGGGACGTACCCAGGGTATTCTAAACGGCAAATTACGGGTATTATGCAAACTGAGTAAAATGAATAATTTGTGCATAAAACAAATCACTGGCATAAATTTGCAGGCACAAATCATAAGACATTATCATGTACCAATAACTCTCCATTAATTGAATATTATTTCAAATATATCAATCGGTTAAGAGATGAAAAAGCTCTTTTAAACGGTACAATAGCTCAAAGTTGATTTTCCTAATATCTAACTGTTTCATTGGTCGTAAGCTTATTTGAAGACGAAAAATATACATCTAATTATGTTCATTGTTTATAAATACTGTAAGTTCAAGACTATGAAGTGCTCATATTTATTTATCGTATCTATTGTAACATTATCTCAAATAACAAGAAATGTGTAGACGTAGAGAATTAAAATTAATTAAATAAGCTAATTATATTATTGGCATATCGGAGTTTTGAGATTTCGAAATGTTGAAACATGTCGAGAATTTAGTTATGTTGGGATTTAGATATGAATGTCGGAGTGTTACACCTTCCATGAATATAGGACATCCAAACCGATATATAAGTACGTCTATTACGTCAACATATAAAGATGTTATATCTAGAGAGAATAAGGTGCTACACAACAGAAAGGGTATAAACTGAATAATTTATAAGAAGAGGAATTCTCTAAATGTCATAAAGATTTCCTGTGGCAGCTTTTATGAAAACTATTATTGACAAAGCCAACAAATCCATAATCAAATCAGATCACTAAACATAGTCGACAGTTGGACTTATTCAATGCTAACAAAAAAAATATAAAAATTAAATATATCAAATATGGCTTATTTTGAGTGAAGTTCTTCCACTTTCGATTTATATTAGGCACAAAAAAATAAAGTCCACTTGCATGTAAGCTTTAAAGATAATAATAAATTAATGTAAGCATTTTTATTTATTTTTGTTCTCGTAAGTCCTGTTTGAAGGCTAAGAGCTTGTTTTATATACAAATGAATCCTTACGCGAATTTCACAATTAGCATGAATGTCGCTACTATGTATATAAATTCACTAAATTAATTTTTTTAAGATTTTTAGAAACATTAGATGCTTTACTGTCGTTGGTGTTTGTTTTGATGTCTAAAAGCTAAAGCAATGTTTGATGAGAATTCAAAATAGTTGACTTTATTTATTTTTCTTCAAAACACACAAAAACTTGCCTCAATGGCTTGCAAGAACTGTCCTTTTATAAATAATTAAATTACTAATTACTATCTATTTTACAGGTTAAAGACTACTACAAGAATTTGCAGTTCATAATATTCAAAGTATGAATTTTGTAAGAATTTTTACAAAAATGGCATGACATCACTAAAACAATAATAAGAAATTAATCGAAATAGGAAGCTAATTGTTATTCAAAAGCAAAATAATGTTAAAAAAATAAAAGAATTTTAGCACAATATAAAAATGTTTTCTGTAAAGATTTCATTGGATCAAAGAACGTATGACATGAATGTTTGTGGGTTAGGAATGTTTGGGAAGAATTCGTGTTGTTAGGGGAAGGCAACGTTGATGTTGATACCACAGGGTAAGAAATTTCGAAGCGAAAAAATTATTTTAAATTTTGTAACACATTTCTATATTCGTAATCACGGGACTTCTCATTTTTGCTGTCGCGGCTGTTTTGTAAAATCAGCGATTACGGGATTTTTCGTTGTGACGGTAAAAGTATTTCGATGACAAACTAATATATTAATTATTCTTTGTATGGAAAAATTATATATTTGTGCTATATCTCGTTATCTTTGCGCAGTATACATATTATCAAATTGAATCACGCACTCACGTAAATTATTCCTTGAATTTGCAGTTAAAGTATGGCTTAAAGGAAAATAAAGGTTATACTGTGTCAGCATTTGATTAGTACTAATGATAAAGATCATATAATTAATTACATGTAGTTGCCGAGGGGGGATTTATCATTATGACCGGTACATATATTAATTGTCATTAATAATTTTTAATTTAGTATTACATGTAGTGTGTATTAACGATAATAATAATGCTAATATTTATCTTCGGGGACAACAAAATACATGATGGTTTTGACGTACACATCCATTGATACAAGTTTAATTCGAAATACTCGTCCATATTTGATGTCCCTTACTCTTTTCACGACAAGCTTATACTTATCGTTTGTGGGGATTACTTGAAACTCGTATTCCATGCGTCGATGTTTGAAATTATAATTGTCGTCGCCCTTAATACCACTAAACACATTCTCGAAAATTTTTGCGAAACTCTGCGCCACGATTTCTAACGGTTCAATTTTGTGTTGATAAGGGTCGTTGTGAATTCGATGGATTTTGCGACCGAAAACGTCGTCGTAATCATCGTCATCATCATCATCATCGAGTACTCCCAAGAATGGTGCAACAAATTCTACATTAATTGTATCAAAATACATGTAACATTTCAACACTTTAAAATGTTTTTGAATACAATTAATAAAATTAAATACCATACCATATTCCCGTACATCCTCCTCTTTTGCAAACGGATCGATCGTAAGTTTATAAGTTTGACCCCAATCACGTTCCTTTAGTCTTTCGACAATAATTTTATATTTACGACACGATGGAAAAACCGAAATATCAAAACTAGTTCGAGAATCTGCTTCTTGTGCCTTGTCTGATAATTTGTTTCCATGAATAGAGTCAATTATTTTATGAAAAAGATTTGCAATTTTGGGAACTTCATTTTTTATAAATGATGGATCGTGTTGTGCAGAAAAATGCTGAATGACTTCTTCATCTTCATAAAGTTTGTGTATGGAAGGTTCTGATGTAATAAAATAAGTAAAGAAAAAGAGGAACGCGAAAAGCACAGTAAGGAAATGTTTATAGTGGGCCATTTATTGTTATTAATCAATTGGAATTTTTTAAAACTTGTTGAAAACAGCTTGATTATTTATTGAGGAATCGTTAGTATGGCTTTAATTATTTTAATCGATTGCTTTATTATCTATTTAAATGATTGATTGATTGTTATACTTAATAAGGCTTTGTTGCATTAGAAAAAATTTTAATTTATTTATTTTTATATTAATTTAAGTTAAATCGTTTTTATACTACGAATTATAAGGATATAAAATTTGAACGTGAAAAACTCTAATGCACAAATGCTAATAAGCATTGCGATTCGATTGCAAAACATTAACATAAAAGTATATTAAGTATATTGATTGTGTTTTTTATAAAATATCACTATTGTTTCTATCAATTACAAAAGGGAAATGAATTAATTTAAATAAATACTGAGTGAATAAAAATGCAAGTATGCTGAAAATTATTATGTGCAATATTACTTCGTTTCAAGTTGAAAATAAAATATGAGCCAGAGGTTTGATCTGTCTAATGTTTAAAAGTTACCAATCCTTTTATATTCGAATCATGTAAACATTATCTTTTTTATTGTCCAAAATTATGAATCAATCAAATACAGTCTCAACCATTTTCCCACTTGATCATAGCCGTTTTCCTTCAGAACTAATACTGTTTTTCGGAATTTTGTTAAATGATGAAATATTTAATGAACATGTGCAATTTGATTATTTCTCAGAGAAATTTTATTACAGGGTAGAATTATTACGTATCAATTGCCTTGATTTAGACGGAGGATAGTTTTGGAACAATTACAAGAATCTTCAAATAAAAAGATGAAAGACTATTGCAAATAATTTTGGATTCCAGATGTAAATTTTGCTTTTTTAGATAAGTTCACATGATTCACTTCAAAATATAGCTTTATTTAAACATGTGATTAATCCCCTTAAAAAACTTGACTAAACTTAAAAAAGCCAAATCAAATCTCGTGATTGAAAATTTGCGCTTTATGAGCTTTGAATTAGTTTCAACCTATTCATTTTAAAAGTGAATTTCGTATGTTCTACGCTAATACACTAATATATTTGATAATAACAATCAGCTTTGGAGACAAGCTATATTCAACACTAAGATTGAAATAATTGCATTAAAAATGATATATTCCTGTATGCGTATATGTATTTACAAAGCAAATAATTTGAATGATGATTTACACAGAGAAGGTCAATCTCACGAAGATTGTACAATCATACAAAATTAATTTTTTGGTTCTCATTAACATAAAATTTTTTCAATATTTTGAAAAATCCCATCCGGGAGTTTTTATAATAAATAACATATAAAATCTTTTTAAACGTTTGCAAAGATTGATCCGGCCGGTGCATGGCCTAAAATATAAAATAATAATATTAAACTCAAATAATAAAACAAAACAAAATAAATAAATACATCAAAATCCAAATAATCAAACGTGATTCATCAACTTTGTAAGCCTTCGATTTTTGACACAAAAAAGAATAGTTAAAATTACTTTTTATTATTTTTCTTCAAACCACACACATCGACTTGGCTCTGGCTTTCGAGAGCTGTTCTTTATATACGATTTGGTTAACTAAATATCTATTTTACAGATCGTAAGTTATTACAAGAATTTACGGGACCTAACGTAAAAAAGAATTTTACAGAAGGGCATGGTTATACTTCAAAACAAAGAATAATTAGAAAATTATTACGTACAACACAAAATGTAAATTTTGTAATATGTCCATGGATCTAGGAAATAACGTACGATACAAATGTTTATCAGTTTCTGCTGGCAACCACATTCTTGGAATGCAAAGTAAGAATGTTTGTAAGGAATCCCATGCTGTTGGGAAAGACAGTGTTGATGTTGATAATGTCATGCGCAATTCAAAAGTTAGTTAGACTAAAGAATTACGAAGAGAGAGCTAGACTGAATGATTTACACAGAGTGGGGTATCTTTAAGGTTCTAAAGGTCTCCTGCGCCAACCTACACGGAGATTGTCCAATAAAAGGGGCATTCGGGACAAAACTAAAAAGGTTCATGAATTCCAAAAGAATACGTATAGTTTCTGTTCACTACCAGCACAAAACAAAAGAGTTGGACTTATTAACACGGCCAACAAACTAATCAAAAGAATAAATACCAATTTTTTAAGGCAGAAGTAAAACCATCAATCTTGTTAAGCACAAAAGAATAAAAGCTATCAATTTCGATATGACACAAAAGAAATGAGAGCCAAAGCGCAGTTAGTTAGTTTCAAAGTAAATTTAATATTTAATTTTATGCAAATCGCCCACTCAAACCTTTTGGATGACTATTCTTTAAATACAATTTTTAGAACTACATCAATTTAATACGCAGTTTCACGGGATCTGAAGTACAGACTATGAATTATTTAGGAATTCTCACGGCTATTCTTCGATACAAAGAAAAAAAATGTAATAATAAAGGTCTAACTATGTGTGAATTTTATGATGAATTAATCAAAGAAATAACGTATGATACGAATGTTTGATAATTACATTCTCTGAAGTCGTAAAATAATAATTTTGTGCTATCGCTTATTGGGAAGGCAGTGCCGATGTTGATTCCACAAGGTAAGAATTTTGTACGAGCGATATTTATGCTAATGCAACGAAAGGGGAATTTTTATAGCGATAGGAATTTTTAGCGACATTTAATGTTTGATGTTACACGTTAGGCGTTTTTGTTCAACAACGATACCAAAAAAAATGTCCTTTTCGTCTTCGTTTAATGCAAATACATGTAATGGCTAGAAACTGCAATATCAGAAGATCATATAAAATTTTTTGATCATAAAGAGTCATTACTAGAAATTCAATTGGATGTGGTGCGTCTGGTAAAGTATATAAAGCAGAATGGAAAAAAAGACGGAAGAACGGTCACCTTGAAATGTCTTTTTATAAAAAATGACCCAAGCAAAGAAGATTCTTATAAACAGTTTATTAAAGAAGTATTTAGTTTAACATTCCTGTTTCTTTGAATATAGCTATTAATTTAACTTTTCTTCTCTTATCATTATAGCTGAAATTCTTGATTAACCACAACTCAAATATTATTCGATTTTATGGAATCACTAAAAGTAAAAAATAATAGTTCTTTTTCTACATAAGCAACTTTAATTTGATTTACTGCAATAAACTTATCTATAGAGCCTAGTTCAGGAAAATATATGCTAGTCTTGAAATATGCTGATGATGGAACTCTTCAAGATTATTTCAAAAATAAATTTTGTGAATTTGAATGGCTATGATAAGCTCTGTCTCGCAGAAGGAATAAAATATATGCATGATGAAGGTATTATTCACCGAGATTTGATAAATATCTATTCAAAAATATTCAATTTGGGTCGAATATGTTATTTATCGTTCATTTTGATTTGTAGCATCATAATAATATACTCGTACATAAAGGAAAGATTAAAATTTCGGATTTAGGATATTCGAAACTTTATGACTATGAAACTTAGCCAAAGAATTACTATGGCATTACAAGCTATATTGACCCAGCTTTTCTAAAAGACATGCATAATTTCGACGTGGCTAAAAATCTGATATTTTTGCGTTGGCGTTCTATTATGGATGATTTCTAGTGGACGTCCTCCAACCAATACATATGGATATATTCTTAAAGTTATTCTGAGAAAGAAATGACAATATTTGGAACACCTCCTAAATATGTCAAGATCTATCCAGGATGCTGGGATAATTCACAAAAAATCGCCCAGCTATAGATGTAGTAATTAAAATATAATCTTGGTCACCATCAGAAACTTTATCAATAGCCTCCAATGTTGAAACATCGTCATCAATATATAAAGAACAATTATCAGAAAGTTCAGATTCATCATGTGATAGAGACAAGTATGAGGAATCTGAAAAATTAGGCACTTATCATGAAAAACTTTTAGTATTTGAAATTATTACTGATGATTTAATAAGTTTGCTGAATAAACAACTTGACTATGGGAGAGATCCTTCAACGATTGGCAGATTGTTACAATCATCAGACACTTTTAGGATTTTTTTATTATACTGGTTGTAAAAATTTAGAAGGATCAACAATGAATCAGCACGTTATGGCACAATATTTCATTGGTGAGTGTTATGAAAATGGAACAAAGACAAGAAAAAAGCATTTTAGTGATATTTGAAAATCAGCAGAAGGTGGAAATACTAGAGGCTAATATAACCTCGATAAATATTACGAGGAAGGCATAGGAACTCAAAAAGATGAGAAAAAACATTTGAGTAGTATTTGAAAATCAGCAGAAGGTGGAAATTCTAGCGGACGATACAATCTCGGTTGTTGCTATCAAAATGGTGTAGGAACTCAAGAAGATGAGAAAAAAGCATTTGTGTGGTATTTAAGATCAGAAAAAAGCATTTGAGTGGTATTTGAAATTAACATAAGGTGGAAATTCTGATAGACAAAGACGAGAAAAAAGCATTGAGTAGTGTTTGAAACCAACAGAAGGTGGAAATCCTAGAGACGAAATAATCTTTGATTATTACTATCATAGAACTCGAAAAGACAAGAAAAAAGCATTTGAGTTGTGGTGGACAAATTAATCTTGATGGACAAATACTGCATCTCGATTATAGTTATGCTGAAGAAACAAGAACTCTAAAAGACGAGAAAAAAACCTTTCGATTTGAATGATATGACTGAAGGCGAAAATTCTGTTATTAAAATGGGAAACAAGCGTTTGATTTGTATTTGATATCAATGTACGAGTTGCTAAGGACAATTTAATTTTAAAATTCGTCATTATGATATAAGTCCTCTCTCTTCCACTACCCATATCAACGGAGAACGGCAAGTAAAAAAATTTCCTAAATACCAATAAATAAATTCATCAAAAAGCTGAAAAGCCATTTTCTAGTCGTTTAAACTTCTTTTTAAATACGAATGAGAATTTTTACATTATGCGTTATCTTCTGTCACGTATTTAGAGCTATACATGTATAATTATTTTTATCAGACATTTGTTTTCTCGACTAGAGTTGAGCGCTTAAACTATTGCAAATAATTTTAGCTATATTTCTGGTTTATAGTTTTAGGATTCAGAACTACAACCTAAATAATCGACGCGCCCAACTCTTAATCTTAACACATAATTTTTATCAGTTGGTCATTGGTGAATAAAGCTTGTGTCTACAATAATTCTCTGGCTTTAAATGATCATAGAAAATGACAATATTAAAACAATAATATTTATGCCAAAGTTCGTGGGCTCGTTTGAGTCTACTCTTTCTTGATTTGACCAGAAAGAATATTTCAAAAATCAGGATCTCTCATAAGTTCAGAGAATTATAAGAGGAAGACAAAGAGGCAAAGGAATTCAATAAGACTATTCTGAACAAAGTTAAAAACTTTTAAATTTTACACTTATAATATCGCATAGTCTGATGCATATCTTTTGAACATCCAATACCAAGAGAAAAGTGACACGCCAACAAAGTGTACGTATCGAAATCATTTCCATTTTTCTCAGCGACTTTAAGAAAACAACGCGTTGCCTTATTCCAATCTATTCGTGTTCCGATTCCCATAAGATAACAGTCACCTAACCTATAGAGTCCTTCTATATCTCCTGCTTCGGCTGCCTTCTTAAAATAAGTGAATTTTTCCGTCGAGTCCCGCGTGAAGTGTGCGTATTGTATTTGTCCACGTGGCTCTCCATTTTCGGCAGCTAGTTTGAACCATTCTTTTGCTGATTCAGCCTTACTCGAGTTGAGATGATGTAGGCCTAACTCTGTTTGTGCAGGCGGATAGGAATCATAGGCGGCGATTCGTATCCAGTTGAATGACTTTTCTTGGTTTTCTTGTGATTCGGCATCAGATTTGAGATATTGGGCGAGGATCAATGCACTTTCGTAGTATGCCGCCTGTGCAGATTCTTGGTAAAGTTGAAGTGCTTTTTGAAGATCTCTTGCGACACCCAGTCCATTAGCATAACAGTTTGCAAGATTTTTTTTGCCCTGGCGCATATCTTAACTCAGCCGACTTTTGAAAATAAGAAAATGCCAATTCATAGTTTTGTCGCACGCCAAATCCTTTACTATAGCAATAACCCACCTGATTATGCACGACCGGATCGTCTTTAGTAGATTCCGCCGCCAATTGATACCAATAAAAAGAATCTTTCATAGACGACTCAATCCCAATTCCCCATTCCCACAAAAATCCAATCAAGAAATAATATTCTGGATTATTATTTTTATCCGGTGGTGGTGGTGATTGCTCATCCTCAGGCTCACAACAAAACCATTTGAAAATCTCGTATGGATCGTGATTGTTGTCTTTGATGAACTGTTTTATTTTTTTGGCGATATCTTTTGCATCTTTGTACCGTGCATTTTCGTCGTTTAAGATCTTGTAGATATTGGCAATGTGTGCTGGTAGTTCTGGATTATTGCTTTTTAGTTTTTTTGAAATCATTTCTTTGAGAATACATGTACAGTTGCCTCAAAAAGTAACGCCCGATCTGTATGTGTAACAAGATCAATAACTTTTATACATGGTGTTTCCCCCTTTTAATGTTTTTTTTTTACCAATTTTTATGTCAATCTCTTCGTCAACTTCACCAAAACACTATAATAAATAATTTT